TTTTCAGTTGGGGTGCAACTCAGCAAACTTTTATGAGAAGTCATTATGATAGCTATTATTTAACTTATATCAAAACAAAGTTTTATTTAAGTTAAATTAACTTTAAATTTTCCCTTTTTTGTTGTGTCAAAGTAATAACTTTTTCCCCCATTCACTTAAGCATAGCTCTCAAGAAAGACTATTATAAAGTCCTTGCCATTTATTTTTGATATTTGCATTTTGCTGCATTTTGCTGCTTACTATGTGCAGCTTTTATGTGTTTTTCATTTTTGTACTTTGAGTAAATTTTAATAAAATATATCTTTATTTACTTTTTATTTATTTCTTTCTCTTAGTATACATTTTACAATTTTCTAAAATAAGTTTTTTTCCCATGTGTGTGAAAACTTCTCAAATAACAAAAATACTGCAAATATTTATAAATTGCTTGTTATTATATGAAAAGTTGTAATTTCTTGTAACATATTTTTTTTCTTTTTTTAACATATAAAGTAAAAACTTCTTTCATTCATTTATATTGACTACAAAGTGTACATCTATCTATACTCTACTGAATATTTGAAATGAATAAAAACGTTATTTCTTATGTTGTTTGTCATTTTCTAGTTTCTCTGACTGCTACAATTGCATTGGTTATAACTTTTTTTTTTGTATCTATTATACACAATAATAAAGAAGTTGTTATATTGCTGATAAGAACGATATTTTTGACAAAGTCTGCAGTATATGGGAGTGACATGGCAATTTCTCAAAAATGTATAAAAGATTTTACGTAAGTCATACATTTGGCACTGACGATATTTTTACTGCTATCTTGCAATTTCAACGGAACACAAATATGATTTATGTTATAAAAAAAATTCAAAAGATTTTGAATAAAATTAATTGTAATATATTTAGATTAAAAATTAATAAATTTCTGCGCATGTTTCGCCTACCGGAACTCAAAATGTTACTCATACGCCCACGTGTCAAAATCAAATTGCTTGCACTCAGCAATTAGACAATTTCAGTTAGTTTTCATGTTGAACAAAATTTCAATGCTTCTCCTTATTCTTGTTTCAATTTGAATCCTTAAGTTTGAACATTGCTGTTTTTACTCTAATTTGGCTAATACACAAAATACTGGTTGGAGACGGTTGAAGTGCAACTTACCGAAAGCACTTCACAAATAACAATGCAATAACAAAAATGTTGAGTCAGTCAAGTTTCTAGACTTAGAGCTGTCATATAGAAAAGGACTGAATTGTGTCTGACTGTAATGATTTGCTTTTTAAACAATTTAAGAGTTTTTAAGGCAGATGAATGATTATTGTGGGATTTATAATACTTAAATCAGAGTAAATAATTAATTGACGTTTTTCACTTACTCTACAGAGTAAGTTGCTACTAAGCAACGATCGTTTTTAAGTTAAGGCATGACATATTTTTTAATTATTTTTATCCATGTTATTAAATTTAATACATTTTTATAATAATATATATATACATATATGTACATACAATACATGTGCATTATATATTGAGAATGTGCATACCTAAAAGTGTGATCGAAGTAATATTTCATAATGAAAAGAAATCCAATATAAGAATGGTTCCCCTGAATATGATGACACAATGCTAGAGGAATTTGGTATATGTATGTTCAAGTAATTATACAGTAAAAACAGATGAATTTTTATCTAATTAATTAGTACTTTCTTGAAGATTTAAATAAGTTGAATAATCTCTTTTTTGCATTTCTGCTTTTTTATGAAAGAAATTTGTTTTTTAAAGTGAAAAGAGTTTCTAGAAAGCAAATTCTGTAAAATCGTCATAATGAAATAGTATTATCACTTCTATATATAGGTTACTTCTAAATGTAAGTCACTTCTATATGTAGGTCACTTCTATACTTTTCTATATAAACAAGAATTGTACTACTTTTCAAGCGATGTTTTTGAAAATACATTTCAATACATTCCCAAGGTGTGATTATCGCAAAGCTGCTTTGTTTTTAAAATTTAATTTGACCATTAAATTGATTCAATTAGTAACTTAATTTGCTTTATTCCTTGAAAAGTTGGTTTATGTAAAAAAAAATTAGTTTGACCTCTAAACAGACTGAACGACTAGCTTTGCATAATTGTTCTACTCTTTAAATAGTTAGGTCTGGAAACACTTCGCCTAATAAGACTGCTTATCGAGAGCTTCGTGATTAAAAATCTTTAGTCATCTTAATGTACTCTTCGCGTATCTTCGTTGCTATAACATGATTATATTTTGATTTTAACTTGTTTGTTAAACAAAGTAAATTTGTTAATAAAAGCTTCATAGCAAAATAACAAAACTCCAGAAAAATTAGCGAACATAAAAAATCAAGTACTGCTTTGGGTCAGTTGATTAAGGTGCGCTGATTCTGAGTTTCACATTTGGCAGGACCCGAATTCGATTCCTGGTACTTGTAGTATCAAAAATAATTATTTAGGAATAATTAAAGAGAAGAATTATTTCCAAGACGACTGATAATGGGTATATGCCAATACTGGAAACAGCTGTGTGGTCAGCCAAGAATTCAATTAATTAAAATAATATAAAATGAATTTTTGTTGTTGTAGTTCACTACTGTTCGAAAAAACCTCCTTAAATAAATTTATTAAATTTTTTTAAAATTATTCCTAAAATCAAATTTTAAATGAAATAATGAATCTCTGTAGTATACCAACATAAATAATTAATATGCAAGCGTGTAAAATTACTTTAAAATAAAATCATTACAGATGCAGACTTAAATGGGTAAATGTTTTATTTAGTTTTGAAAAATTTCAATAAATTATTTAATTAAAGGTAGCATAAATTTTTTTAATATTAATTACCAAACTTTCTAAAATGTACACCATTTTCATTTTAAACACATTTTTGAAAGTTTAAGTTTATTTAGACCTTTTGGAGTATCTCATATATATAAATGTTTTATAGTTGCGGGTTTAAATTAAAATTGGTTTCGGTAACGACTAAACTTTTTGAAACATACTTCCTTTGCGGTTTTTTTGACAGCTTCACACACTGCACACTACAAATAAATTTTATATGAATTTACTGTACAATTTTGTATTGGTTTTATGGTTGTGGTGAAGATATACACACGATTATGAACTTTAACTATAAAATATGTTATTAAATTTGGTATTCAAAACACTTGCTAAGTTGCTTGAAAATTGAAAGAGTTCTAAATTGAAATTAATAACAACAAAAAGAGTTACAAAAAAAAAAACAGTTGCGAACAAAAAC